TTCATTCACGAAAGGAGGTTACTTTCTTGACTCAGTTAAAATCATTGTACACCCCTTATTCGTGAAAATGTTAGAAGTGAATTGGCTTAAATGAACTGTTCTAAAAAGAGTGGAGTGGAGATCAGAGATTGAGTTTAGTTGGAAATTAGCAGCTGAGAGATAAAGGTGCCAGGATTTTTATTTAAACGTGGCACAACGCGATCCTGTCAGTACGGCACATCATTAATAGTGAGTTTAGCACTGCTAATCTTTCCTTTAAAGTGAGCATGCCGTCATGTGTTTTGCGGACCGTAATGAAGGGCCATTGTGTTGTCATTGCGTTGGTTTTGCTTTTTCGCAGCCCTGCTTTGGCTCTCATTCTGCATTTCCTCCTCTCCTTCTTCTCCACTTTTTCTTCCCCCTCCCAATCCTACATTTCTTTAATAGATCCCTACCCCAAACCAGTCAAAAGCATGTTATTTACTTCATGTCATCTTAGGCTTAAGCATCTTTTTGCGCCATTTTCTTGCTTACGGTAGGAAGACGTCTGCAGATGGATCTTGGTTACTGTAAAGTATACAACAGTATCTCCTTTGCGGCAGATGGATCGAAGACTTTTAGTTCTCAATAAATGTAGGTTTACAATACATAACTTTACAGGATTTGTGTTGTATATAACAGGTCTGAACATATTATCTCAGAATTCATCTGCATGGCATTTTCAGCTTACCCAGGGTCCATGCCAGTTTTTTTAAGTAATAGGGGAGCGCTGTGATTGATAGCAGCAGCTCAAGGCGTGATTCGGAATAGAAACAAAGGGTTTAGAACAGAAGGTGTCAAATTAAACTTTGTCAGTTTGAAAAGTAGTAACATCCTGAAAGTTTTACTAATGTATTTACATGTGGCTACTGTTTATATTTTGCCCTCTTTATATGCAGTGCAAGGTCGCTTGGCAAATTGACTACATTTAAAGTTTAGGTTGTTCCTAGTATCCTCTTAGATCTCTGAGGATGGATCGGTCTCATTATTTTAAGGCTGTTAGTCCCCCTGTCTTCTCTGCTGTTCCAAACAGTTGTGGTCTAATTTAATTTGGAGAGAAGTCCTGCCTGTGGTCTCTTAACATAGCTGCTCCCAGAGACTTCTCTTAAAAACCTAACTGTGTTCACATTTCATGACAAAGTGCATTCCACTCATCTCTCTCTCCCGAGTAAATCCGTACAGTTATCATTGAAAAAGCCAGGATGGTACTTGGGGGAAATCATTATTTGTCAAATATCACAAATATTCAGACATGCTCCTCGTCTTCCTAAGGTTAGATGTTCTGACACTATCCCTTGTGGAAAACCGACTTAGCAAACCGTGATGGGAAGATAGAAAGCATTTGGCTTTAGTCGCCTTCTGCAAAGCATAGAGAGGTTACTGTCATCATGAACAGAGCCGCAATCGATGAGACTCGAGGTAGTCAAAACAGTTCGAGGTATTTAAATAGTATTAGAATAATTTAATCTTATTTTTGCCAATGTAAATTGGGAGTGAGCCAATGTATTCCTGCACTGACAAAGAACTAGCATGTCAAAATGTTTGTTTGCCATTATTTCTTAAGAGAGAGACACATCAAGAAGCGGTCCCCCTCCTTTTGTTTTTTTGGAATACCCTTGTAGAGCTAACAGTTCCCAGCTGCACCGTTAAATATTTTCCTAAGCAGCATCTGATTTCAGTCTCTTAAAATCATCGTGTTTCTTGAAAGGCGAGCGGAGACATGCTTCAGCTTATAATTCATCAAATTATTTTTAGATAAGGAATTAGAAGTATTATTTCAGGGCAGAGGTTAATAGCAAACTACTGGAAATGTTATGTTAGTCATGGGCAATTAATAAAAATAAGGATCCAGCTCAGAAGTGTAGGGACACTGAAGTGACAATTTGAGCAAAATATTTATTGAATGAGTCAGGGCTCTTTTTCTGAAATATTTGTTAAACCAGCATGAGTGTGATTGTTTAGGAATTAGCTATCATTATTAGCTATTTTAAAAGAACTAATGATTTTCTTTTCCAAAGAACATCTGTGATCCACATGTTTTTCACATATATCCAAGTGCTAACTGATCTCCGCATTACTTTAAAAAGTTTCTAAAGGATGTGAAAAATCATTGGAGTTTTTCAGCTTTCTCCAAGAAGCTTTTTCTTTTCTTTTCTTTTCTTTTTACCATAAATCGTTCTTAATTTAACTTTTGGCCATTTTTAGTCACAAGCATTTATTTCTGAGGAAAAAAAAAAATCTTAACTGCTTAATGCATAGCCCTTACTGCAACAGTAAAATACTAGCTAAGTTAAAAAACAAACAAACAAAAAAAAACCTTTCTGGCTTTTTCTTTATGAACTTTCTAACTTCTCTTAAAAGGTAAATAAAATTGTACAGTTTGCTGTATTTGGATGTAAGGATTCCGTCCGTTGTCATAAATGAAGAACACAGACATGGGGGAGAGGGAAAAATAATCTTTAACTAATTAATATTCAAGCCTACTGGAAAATATAGAGTTAAAACTTATACAGCCACAACATTTAAAGTGTAAAGAAGTAGTGTAGGTGAGGAAAATATACGATATTTTCATGGCTTAATCCGGATAGCGAATATTTACCAGGAGGAGCTAAACAAACATGTCCAGGCACCATATGCAAGTTGGTCTCAGATATTTCAAACACTGAAATATGGTCCTGTGGTTAATATTGCCCTCACACAGAGAGAGCTGAAACAGGTCATATCGTTCTAGAAGTGTAGAATTGCTGTGGTTGGAAGAGGAGCACGGCCATTGTTACTGTAACCACAATGATGGGTGCCTATTTGTAACTTACATTCTGGTAGGTAAGTCTTCCGTTCATGGCCAGCTCTCTCAACCTTCAGTTACGTATGCAGTGGCTTGTGTGAGTGCGTGAGTACACGGCCGTCCCCACGTATGTATTGGCTTAATTAAATTTGCCGAGTAGCAGCTCAGAGACAGATGAGTAGATCTCGAGGGATTTATCAGTATTCAGCATCGGCGGTTAGTAGGTGGCCTTCGGAAGCTAATTCATCAGTTCTCCACCTTTTCTGTTTTCTTTTTCTAATTGTCAGAGGGTCCACACACTTGCCAGAAAGAAAGGGAAAAAAATACCCCCCCGTGGGCGTGGTCCACACTGCACCCCCTTCTCCATTTCTTCTTCCCTTCAGGATTCGGGGCATCCATGCACACATACCCAGTGTATTTCTCAAGGTGCTGGGGCAGAGATTCAAACCATGGATGGCCACATGGAATCTGGCTCCCTTAACCAACTGGCTGCAGGCTGGCCCTCTGGCTTTTCTTTTGAAATTTCTCAAGTACGTCATTTCGAGGAGAACGGGCCTTGCTTCTTTTCACAGACACGAGAATTCAGAAGCATTTTCTCTCTGGTTCTGTTTGAGTAGGGAAGGGAAATCATTGCAGTTCTGTCTCACCCTGAATAACATAAAGAACCAACAAAACCTTCCTTGGGGAGATCTAAAAATTATACTATCAAGAAAACCGTGTTCTTTTTTTTTTCCATTCAACTAATTTACTTGAAATTTCCAAGGAGCCCTTTTGTCGTAGGTGAGATTCTCTAGAGCAGCGGCCAGGACTGGGAGTCAGGTGTCCTTGAGGATTAGGAGAGGGCTCGGTAGGAACACGGTCTCAGGTAAAGACCAGCCTAAGATCGGTGGAGGACGGAGCAAGAATGGGGACAGCCATCTCTAGAGAGCAAACAGAAGGTTAGAGTCAGTTGTCCACTCTGAGACAAGGAGGCAGGAAGATCGTCCCACTGGGTCAGTCTCTGGCCTCTTCACTGGAGTCAGGGGGTCAGTGAAGAAGTGGGGTGTCATTCCAGACATCTTCGGGGTGAGATGGCCTCAAGGTATTTCTCCAGATTAGCGTGCAGCTGAGCTCCGTCAGCAGACGGCACCGTGGCCGCAGGATGGCTGCTTTGGTTGATGGGGTGAGTGAGACTCTGCCACTCTTCCTCCGATGGCGAGGTGTCCAGCGTCGCGGTCGGGGGAAGTTGTGAGATAGTGGCTACAAAACGTGTGCATTGGACCACTCAGATCTCGCTAGATAGTCTCAGGGTCAAAAACCTCAGGAAGCATAAGAAAAGTTCAGATTTGGGCACTTGTTGGATATTTTCCTTCTCTCTTAAACCAGAACACCTATTCAAATTCTTCCCTGAAAAATTGTATGTTCACGCTGCAGCAAGGCAGAAGAATAGAACTGCAAGGTCTCTTTCTGGAAAGTTCTTTCTAATCATTGTGCTTATAGTGTTCTTGCTCACACAGTGCCACACGTCCTTTGTCTCTTTTATACAGAAACACAAATACTCGCACGTAGTTTAATTTCTCGGACAAAAATAAGCTTCGAGATGCTCTTAGGAAAAAAAAAAAGTGTTTCTAAAATCTATCCTACCCTTTCCTTTTTGTTAAAAAAATTATTATTCTATTTTAACTTTCTTTCTTTCTCTTTTTCTCTCCTTCCTTCCTTCCTTCCTTCCTTCCTTCCTTCTTTGCATTTGACCAGAGAGGGACAGAACAAGACAGAGGGAAAGTGAGAAAGCAAACCGCCAGGTTCGGGATTCAAACCACAGTCAGCTATGTAGGAGTCCAGCGCCCTTAACCACCACGCCACTTGTCGGCCCCTACCCTCTCTTTGATGCTGTCAAGACCCTCATCACACAAGGAGGTCGGGGAGGAGCACGAGCATGCTCAGCTTTGCCCTCTCGGTGCTAAATGCTCTTTTGCCCTTGATGCCTGAAATCTGTACCCCTCTTAAGACGCGAATCTGAGCATTGATTGGCAACAGAGCCTCCCCACGGTCACAGCTACCTCTCTGAACCCGCTAGAAACACGTTCTTAGAAGCAGCTTGGAGGGTTTTGCACGTATGACAGGTCCTAGAGCCTCCGGATGAGCTCCTCATCGGTGGACGCGGCCAGTCCCTCCCGCCCCGCACACATGAGCTGACCTGTCGCTCCTCTTCCCTAAGGGATGGCTGTGTGAACTGTTGCGCTGGAAAGAAGACCCTTCGCCGGAGAACAGGACCCTGTGGGAGAACCTCTCCATGATCCGGAGGTTCCTCAGCCTTCCTCAGCCAGAGCGCGACGCCATCTACGAGCAGGAGAGCAACGCCGTGCACCACCATGGCGACAGGCCACCCCACATCATCCACGTTCCAGCCGAGCAGATCCAGGTCCGTTTACCTTGGCGCGTTCGGTACAGCGCTGAGTAGATACAGCTTTAAACCGAGCAGGGAGATTAGCGTGCTCTTCTTCCCGCCAGCCCAAACACAGGCTTTTTAGCAAGAGATAACAGTCCACCGCCGTCTCGCTCAAGGGGTGACAGGAAAATGACACGCTCTTTCCAGCACGCGCATTGCGTTCGCCGCCGCCTCTGCCCGTCCCCCGGTGGCGAGGACCCTCTTTTACACTTCTTGCTTGGCAAGTGTGTCTTTGTTAGGGATCCCAAACCTTTTTTGTGTATTTTTGAAGAGAAGAATTTAAAACATCATTTTTTTTTAAAAAAATTAATACCATACCCCCCCCACACACACACACACACACACCAAGGAAAGGAATCATTGCTGTTTCTTTAGAGGACGGTTGTAGAATCACAGTTGTATCCCTTGGATTCTGTCCAGAGAAGAAGTGGGAGGAAACCTACTTGGAACCTGGCTTTTGACGCTTCGGCCCTTCCTCCCCCTTGTTGCCATCTCCTCACACCTCCCCGGAGTGCAGGGTAGGGGTGAGTCATATCTGTTTGTCTTTCCTTCAGAGCCCCTCTCCCACCACCCTTGGGAAAAGAGAGTCTAGAGGCGTTTTGTTGCCAGGCCTGCTGACCCCTGCACCATGGCTCAGTGGTGCTCCTCAGGTGAGCAGGCACAAGTTAACCTTTGCCAGCCAGAAGGGGACTGCGAGGGGTGGCGTGAAAACCTGCTCCCTTGGTTAGGATTTTCAGACTTGCCAAGGCCCATGGCTGTGGCCAAAGACCACTCAGCCAGCGGGCTCAGCCTTCTTGCGTAGTGTCAGTCATCAGTCTTGTTCCTAGTCATGCGTTGAGGGGGCCTCCCCTGTAAATCTGAAATGCTCTGGATTAGGTCATTTGCTGCTGCTCTTATGACCTCAGTTGCTTTAGAAAATACCTTATCATTGAACTTGAGAGCTGAGTAACTTTTACTTCTATTAAATAGGAGAAGATATTTTTAGCTTTCTCCTTTGAGGGAAAATGCCTTCCAGAGTCCTAAAATTCTATCTTTGTTGAATCATCTGCATTATTTCTTGGTAGTGCTCTGAGAAACAAATGCATATGTAGCTTAAAACATTACCAGAGTTATCCATCCACCAGAAAAAAAAAAATCCTTGAGTGTGTATTAAAGATGAAACAAATTGGAAAAGAGAATCCCTCAGGGTAGCAAACACTAAAATAATCGTGAAAGCCTGAAAAACTCACTGTTTAGCAAAAACAAAAAAGAGAAAGATATATGTTAAGTAATAAAAATAGTACTTGTTTGAAAATGTAAATTGTTTTTAATAAAATTGCTTCTTAGGGGGATAAAAGGAAATGCTCAGGCACAGTATAAATGTTCTAATATTTTGCCACTAACTCAGGTCGATTTGCTTTGCTGGTGAGATTTGCGAATATCGACGGTACAGTGTGTGCTTGTGCCACACTTGTTAGTTAAAATCGTGTATGGAAATTACAGCACGTAAACAGATACTCATGAACAAAGTGTCTGTAGACTCTAAAGTTAAAGCCTAATCACATCTGAGTTTACTATAGACAAACAGTTTGCTAGCCTTCAAACGGTGGATTGAACCTTTATTTGGGGGCAAGAAAAAAAAATCTTGCAGCATTAGCCTAGTGCAATTTGGGTAAGAAATTATGTGTGTATTAAATTGAAACTGTCTGATAGGAAGTTCACAAACGTGAGAATCTCAGAAACCCTTTGGACTCATGAAGGATAAGGCTGAATAGGCGCAGACGCTTACGCAGAAAGCACGGATAGAAGTATTCTGGCTCCACGCTTCGGCCGTCTGATGAGAGAGGGATGAGCACACCTCTTTCCCCACGGCTCCGTAGCTCACCTTCCTGAAACATCTTTGAAATCCTTGCTTCCCAGTCTTCCTTTTCAATCTGTGTTCATTATTTACATCATACTTTGCTGCCTTTGCCTTTGATGCATATCCTCCTGGTGAAGTTTATGGCTCCCATTTTCAGAAGCTGGGTTTTCACTTCCTCCTCTGATCTCTGATAAGTTAAGCGCAGCAGCCCCCTCCTCCCAGAGCTGTGGTCTTTCCTCTCTCTCTCTCTCTCTCTCTCTCTCTCTGGTTCGTGTCATTCTGATTTCTTTGTAATCGCTGTGGGCCACATAGCTAGTCTGCCTGTCCGTCCTGCCTCTCTGGCTATCACAGAAGCCCTCTGTGGGATTCCCGGCCACATGTGGTCTGGTGCCAGGCGGTGGTGTGCTGGCTGTGGGGATGCAGAGCTCTGATCCTGCCTGGTTTTTTTTTTGCAGCAGCAGCAGCCACAGCAGCAGCCGCAGCAGGTGCAGCCACCGCCGCAGCCACAGCCTCAGCCTCAGGCAGGGCCCCGGCTCCCCCCACGGCAGCCCACCGTGGCCTCGCCCGCCGAGTCAGACGAGGAGAACCGGCAGAAGACCCGGCCGCGAACCAAAATCTCCGTGGAAGCCCTGGGCATCCTGCAGAGTTTCATCCAGGACGTAGGCCTGTACCCGGATGAAGAGGCCATCCAGACCCTGTCTGCCCAGCTTGACCTCCCCAAGTACACCATCATCAAGTTCTTTCAGAACCAGCGGTACTATCTTAAGCACCATGGCAAGCTGAAGGACAATTCCGGCCTGGAGGTGGACGTGGCGGAATATAAGGAGGAGGAGTTGCTTAAGGATTTAGAAGAGAGCGTCCAAGACAAGAATGCTAACACCCTTTTTTCAGTGAAACTAGAAGAAGAGCTATCCGTGGAGGGGAACACAGACATTAACGCCGATTTGAAAGACTGAGGTTCAAGTATTATTTTCATTCAGCAGTGCCACTGATCCTTTCTAGCAGAACGAAAAGTCCACCTTGTACTTGCTCAGAACACCTTGGTGGTTCATTGTTTGGCCAATGAATCTTCAGAAACTTGCACAGACAGGAAAGATGGGACAGGAAAACACAGACTGCACTAAATGTTTTACTCTGTTTTACAAACTGCTTGACAGCCCCAGGTGAAGCATCAAGGATTGTTTGGTATTAAAATTTGTGTTCACGGGTTACACCAGGGTGCGTTGCCCGTCAGCATGGTATCAGTGATTTTTTTTAATTACTATTATTCTGGAGCCTCCAACAAGCATTATAACTTCTGTGATTATGACTTCCTTTCTTTTAATTATTTCTGTAACACTCCACACTGATCTTTGGAAACTCGCCCCTTATTTTAAGAAAAAAAAAAGAAAAAAAGAGTTTGTTACTCTATTGTATGTTACAGAAGAACTATAGACTGTGGAATGCAGTTTAAAGATGACATATGCCAACAAATGCCTTGTATCATATGGCACTGCCGTAATTCGAATTTGTTTTTATTTTGGAAATAAAAGTTCATTGTAATTTTTTTTTCATTCTCATTGTTACCTGATTTTTTTTTTTAAAAAAAAAGGAAAAGAAAATGTGAAACACAATTTAGTCGTCATTATTTATTTGTAGATCCTTACAGCATCATGTTGTAATTAATTTTTTGGAAGTTTCCGTTAAATGTAATATTGCTTCTCTTGTTACCATACTGATTCTTTTCTATTTATAAATGTATTTTGATGGGCAGTAAAACAAAGTGTCTTAAAAGTTTTAAATAGAGAAAACGTGCTTTACACAGTTGCCTATAAAAAGTGCTCTATGTTATCCAAGCAATTCATACTATAAGCTTCACTCTTACTGTTGTATGCAATTTTTACTATCATGCAAATAAGCTTAGGTAAATAAAACTAATAGATCACCTTAGAAAATTATGCAATTAATGTGAAAATAATTGATGTTTGCAATGTGTCTTCCTTTGGTTTACAATCAATTTTAAAGCTACATCTGTATAAAATTTCTGTATAAAGGTGTATTTCTTTTTTATGAGTTTATGGCTATGAAAACACCAGCTATTTTGTTACAGCTGGCTGTTTTTATAAGTGTATCACAATTTTCTTTATGCAGAAATGTTCTGATTAGGAGTGGTTATTGACTGTAACTACACAATTAAAATTGTTTGTACGGTATGACATGGTAGGGTTTGTCTGCTTATGTGAAGTAACTTGGAAGAAGACTCAAAGGGTGACCCTCACGTAGGTGCATGTTAATCCTTTCTTGATAATATTTTGCTGATTTTAAAAAGAGCAGTTGAAAAGTCACTTGAAACACTGTAAACTTAGATCACAAGCACATACTCATTTAAAGGTAGATAGGAGATTTCACAATGAAAATGATGACCTGTTAGGATTAGCATTTTGCTTAATAAACAGGAAAGGAGATGGTCAGAAGACTCTCCAACAAAAGCAAAAATCCAGTCTCTAGCAGTTACATGCTTAGGACGGGTCATCTGCATTTACTTCACAATACTTCAATTATGACGACACTTTTCCTTACGCTGATGTATAAATAATTTTAAAGGCCATTACTAGTAACATAAAGTAAGTAGGGGGAAAATGGACCTTCTGTATAAAAACGTCTTAATAGGCAATGTTTTTTTTACTAGTCGTAAATGGCATAAGTTAATAACTGAGCTCATTTGGTTATGTATGTCATAACTATAAGAACTGTATGCAGAAAAGAATAACACACCTGGCATTTAAACACAATTTTTAAAATTCTTGCAACATAAACTTAGGAAATGCCAGGGCACAAAACGAGGTGTGCTAATGGTTACAGAAAGAATTGAGGCCAGTGTTGCTGATTTTGGTAATATATATATATATATTTTTTTTTTCTTTTTTGTAAAACTACGTTTAATGTTTTGCTTTCTCTTTTTAAAGATTTCCTAGATGTTGATAAGGTATCTGGGCTCCTTGAGACGTGGCTCTACAAGTGCCCTTTTTCTGTCTGCCAATCGTTTCCTCATGCCCCCATAAGCTGTCTGGTAGGCCCCTAGGCTGCTTTAATGTTGAACTTGTACTTAAAAAACTGAAAAGGGATAACTGAAGACTCCCAATAATGCTTTAAAGTTCCATTTACTTTGGAAGCACAGCCGATGCACTCTGAAGGCAGCTGGATTGTTAAAAACTTGAAATAGTATTGCAAAAGTTTCTAATACTTTTTAATCAAGTGAGACAACTCTTAAACATTCTTGTTCACTAGGATTCAGAAAACTATTTGAGCCAAAGGAATTTGAATTAAGCAAATAGAAACTAGATTTCATGTGTTGAGAAAATAAATAGAAAATAAAATAGAACCTTATATGCCATTACGTTTACATATGTAATACGTTTGCATATCTATATCTATATGTGTAGATACCCATAGCTTCTTTTCCCCAAGTTTAAGGGAAAAGTTTACATATAATAGAATAGATGTCTTTTTTTTAAAAACAAAACAAAACAAAACCCAGCACAAAATAGGATTTCAAATAGATGTGAAATACAGTAATTTTTTTTTGAAACGTTGAGTTGCTAATAAGATTTTCCTATTCTGATAACTTCCTAAATTCTTTTGAAATACCTTTTTGATGAGATTATTACTGTGTGTGGAAAATCAACACAATGCTAACAAGACTCTCTAATCTTTTAAAGTCAGCAAGGTTTTGCTAAGTTTTTAACGCCTCCCACCCCAAAAAAGCACATGTTAATGATGGTTGGAATGGAGTGAACTAAATTGTCTTCAGGGAAAATGGCACGTTCTGGAAAAGGCCTCTCCTCTTCTGGACCACCTCCAATGTCATTTTTCGCTCATGCCAGTCCTATTCACGTTGCCTGTGGCTTTGATAAAATTCCTTGAACAAACTTCATCGTGTCCAAGTATTTCAGAGACTTCGAAAAGCTGGGCATACCGTCACGTTCCGTGCTATTAAGACCCTTGGCAGAGTCAGGTAGTTTACGGGTAGTAATCAACCTTGCGCATCTGAATCTGTTGTGGATTCCTTCACTCGCACTTTGCCACGAACTTGTATTACACTCTGTGGCCATAGAATACTTGCACATATGCAAAAAATAATGTCCATAGTATCTTCTTGTCACACAATATGCAGAGTTGACACACAACCTTTGAAAACCAAGGTAACTAATACATGCCCTTGTGTGGCACTTGGGAAGAAAGTGTGTACATATGATGTATAAAATGTGTATTGATTAGCATATAGTACTAAGGAATTCCAAGGTTAAAAGAAGTGTTTTTTTTCCCAAGTAGTGATATCTAACTGTGCTTATCTAAAATACATAGCTTGAATAGAAAACATTGGTTCAAGATGGAGTAAAATGAGAATTCCATACATTCCATTATTAAATCCTGCCCTGTTCCCTATTGTCAACATCTGACTATTAAGGTCCTTGGTTGTCACAATATTCTCAATAAATGAGATAGTCTGAACTGCCTGGTGATATTTTCAAAAATAGCAATTAAAACGTGTGTACCCTAGAATATAACTGACAGAAATAGGACTGTTGCGTTCCAGCAAACCGGAAATGTGCATGTCAGTGTGGAAACCAATGAGGGTCCAAAAATATGAATCACACCTAAAATAGCAAAATACTGATACTATAGACTACCTTATGAATAAACACTTTGGACTTTTTAAGGGGGCATATTATGAATTCAGCGTTTCTTCTGAGGCAATCCTTTTTCTGTAAATAGTAAGTAACTTGCATGTCTTTCTGACAGGCTAAACTACGATCTATTAATATGCACATTTTTGATAAAATAAAAAGTACCCTTATTAAGGAAATGTGAGAGGTGTATGTCCAAAATACTATACCTGTTTACCAATACCAAATGTTAAATAAAAATAGTTTGGAATTAATGTTTAAAAATGAGCAACATTTTTAAGCCTTTCTTAACATTACCCTACTTATGTGGAACACGTATCGCCAAAGTATCAAAATTCAGTGATGACTTCTTGTCTTGTACAAAACAGCGTATCTAGTCAGCTTTGTCCTCGGTTATTTTCAGCTGCTAATATCGGAGCTGGGATCAAAACGCTTGGCTGGGCCCTGTTGTCTGTGGCAATGGGTTGAGGGAGGTCCATGGGAGAATGCAGTAGAGCCATGTGTCCGGCCAAGCAAAGTCAACACCCTCAAAGAAACTCCACAGTGACATGCTGTGTGCCAAGGTAAATACCGAACATTATTTATCAGTTGAGTTGAAAATATTTGCTTTCTCAGGACCAGTAGTTGACGTAATGGTTATGTCGCTGGACTCCCATGTAGTCCACCACGGTTTGAGTCCCAGACCCAGTGGCTTAAACTCACGCCAGGCATGTGTCATGTGTGTCCAAGATCCCGAGAGGAGAATGGAGGAGAAGGGATTGCAGCGTGGCCATCCCCCTGGGGGGTGATTTCTCGCTTTCTGTCTCTGTCTCTCTCTGTCTTCTGGCGAGTGCAAAAACCTCTCCGAAAAAAAAGAAAATAATAAAAAATTTGCTTTCTGTAGTATTCAAATACACTTTCATTATAATGAATGAGGTCTTTCGTGTATGTCCTTCCACCCTTCCACCTCTCGAGCAATAGATGTGTGTGCGGCTCTAACTCTCCACTCCCAGAAGAACCAACAGTACCCGTTAGATGAGAATGTTAGAAAGTTCCGATATTTCAGTGTGGCCATTCCTTTGCTGAGTCCGTGGCCATGTGAAGCAAAACGAGCCTTTGTCCAGAGCATGGGCCTGCCGAACTGCATCTTCACAGGCAGGTTTCCCAGTTGTAATTTCCAATCATCTGTTTTGTCAGGTCTAATTCAAAGGCTTCCTGCTTCCTAAGGGCCTCCCTTCCTAGCAGCGCCCTCGTGCCCTCGAACAGGTTTAAATGGTTAGCAGCTACATTTGCAGAATGCTTCATTTTTTAAGGCGGTACCCTGAACATGCCTTGCTTCAGCTTTCCCATTCCGTGATGAGGTGCTGAAGGCTGGCTGAAATCCCCTCTTCAAAGCAAGGAAGGGAAGCTCGACCAGGTTAACTGATCTGTTCAGCTAAGTTGCCACGTTAGTCTCAAATCTTTCTTCTCCAAATCTCTGTATTTTCCTTAAAACTCGTTAAATAGAAAATGCAAAAAAAAACCCAAAAAACAAAAAAAACCCCTGATATTTGCAAATTTTCAGAAGTATATAATGTAACCTGTACGTTCCTAATATGGAACCTGTACGTTCCTAATATGGAACATCGGATCACTAAGTGATTGAAATCGAGTGGATGGAATGTCTCAAGACAACCACCTCAACATCCTGCCATACTAATATGTTTCTTTTTTTTTAAAACGTTATTACACATGTTTCTTTCATTTTTTAAAATTTTATTATGAAAATTTTCAAACAGTAAAAAGAGATAATGAAATCCCATGGGTTCATGACGCAGTTAAACCATTGTTAACATTTTCCCATTAATAAACACTTTGTGAAACTCATTAAAGGTGAAACTTCTACAAAAAATATCAAAACCAGTCATTTTTTTAAAATTATAATGATTTATGACATCATCTTGCTTTTTTTGCCCAGTAATGAATTTTCTGACTTCTACTGAAAACACTAAATTCTGAACTTTTTCTTAGGGCTTTCTGACGGTTTTTAAAAAGCCAAGTTTTAGAAAAAGGAGAACCTGTAAGAATTCCACAAATATTTGTAACATGAAAAGCAGAGACAAGCCAGCCTGCCTTTATTTATAAACAATACGTGCTTTCATATCATTGTTGAAACTAAAGTACATAATTTTCAGTTATGCATAATAAAATATGTAATTAAGCAACATTCCATGGTGGATTAAAGAATTAAAAGCTTCAGGTGCAGAAAAGAATTTGTTGGCATTTTCTTTTTCAAGGTGGTATTTTGAGGTGTTACTTTTCATTTTCCTTTGACATTTTATACACAAATAAATAGACAGAAACAGGTGAGAAGCAGAGAAAATGAAGAATTGGCTCTACTACAATAGACCCAAAACACAGCAAGGTAGGAGATTCGCAACATGCCCAAAGGAGGCTAAATTGAAAAAGAAGTCTGAGGCTGGGGAGGAAAATAACATCTTTACACAAGGGTGTGGGCTTCAAGAAATAGAAATAACCTGATAAAAAGTGAACTGGATTTGGTCATTTTTATATTTCAGACTACATTACATTAATTCATACTCTAATTGGTCCAGTCCAGTAAACTTACTTTTCAAATGAAGAACTAAATTGAATGAATAATTCTGTGCTGTAAACACTGAGGTTCATAGAGGCCTTTGTCATTTATTCTATTTGGTTAAAGGGTAATATATCAAATAAAATCAAACCCCTCAAATGTCAGAATGTGTCAGGATTCTTTTCAAAATAAATTATTCTGCTCAGTATCTAAGAAGAAAATATTTTAGAAACCAAATTCTGCATCTAACTTCAGTAAGACTATTTAGTGTTTCGAGTGTTTTATGTGAGGCTCAAACCACAGTTTTAACCATGTAAGATCAAGTAAATTCAATATTGCATACTTCTATTTGAGTATTGCATACTCAAATCCTGACACAGAAATACATGTTTGGAGAGTGAATGAATGAACACGATCAGACAATTTACAAGAAATACTGGCTATAGTTTGTTGAATGAGAATCATATTCCATAAACGATCCTTTTGGTAGTGAAGAGGCTTTTTTTTTTTTTTTTTTTTTTTTTTTTCTTACTCGGGGGGTGCACTTGCCAAACACCAA